AAGTTATACTCAAATTTAATCTGAACTCAATTATGAATTATATAATTCAAGAATCAAATTCGAATTAAACTTGATTTTTACCAAAACTAATCTCATCTAATCAAGAGATGGGAGTCGTCTTACTTAATTAAGAGTTTGCATGTGTGACAGGTGCACTTTGGCGATTATATCTTATGCACTTCATGATGTAAAGACACAAAACCGATAAAGAACTCGATGTAATGCGCCTTGTGACTATCGAAACAAAGTCAATTAATTGTTGGTCGGTTTAAAATGTATAACTCTAGTTCAATCAAAATTCAAAAATTTTAAACATGAATCTTATTCAAATTAAAAGGTTAAGGTTAGGGTTGCATTTGACTTTGAATTACACTTGGATTGAGAGTTTTATAATTTGGGGATGGAGTACCAAATTGATATCTCAACCAGCTTAATCCACCGGAGATGCACCCGTAATTTTCAATCATTTTTTATTTGTTCTTTGTTAGATAATGTGGTAAACTATTGCCTTCCAAAAAAACGTGTAGAACTACAAATGAATTAAACAACTTATCAGTATCGATTTAATCGTGTAACTCCTTCAGATCCGACCCATTCAAAACGGGTTGGACGGGATTAGCTTGTTACAATACAATTCTCTTATTTAGTGTGTTCATGACGTAGTATTGGCGTGGTGATGATGTGAATATAAGCAAGACATCAAATCTAGCCGTATAATATGAATTGACGGTCACGATTTACACTGGATTTTTCAAAAAGTGGAGCACCCACTAAGAAGTGGATTGACATGCATGGCCCAAGGCTTTTTGTGTTTCAACTTATGGGACCTACTCTATTATTGTTTGATCATAGATCCAAACCTTGTGAGAGTCAACTTAAACAAATTATCCTATGCAAACATTCTTACCGTAATTAACGGGTCTTTCATTCAATGATATCGTTTGTCTTGAGATTAAGAGTTTAAATTTCTTGGGCGAAAAACAACGTAATTGGTTTGTAGAATAAATTTCAGTTATTTAGACGAACTATATTCAAGTCTCTAGTTTGTGTTTAAATCCTTATCGAAGCACAAATCCTAATTAAATTAGTGTATAGTTTGAGAGACCAATTCATGCACTCATAGTTTGTCCTCGCTTTTACTCAGACTCACGATCTTGAACGATATAAGTGCGTCTCTACTCACTAAGAACAAACTAAAAAATTCTCTCATTATCCCCAAAATAGTATTCTTAATATAACAATAATATCATGTCATCCAGCGCACAATCATTCAAACATAGGGTTGTTTTTTTCTTTATGAAAAGTAATTACAATACATAACACATTGAGTTTACCAAATGCAATACAAAACTACAAGTTTGACTCTCGTCCAATTTTAAAAAAGTTAGAAGATCTTTTAATTCTCTTTTGAATGATGAGGATATTCTGTTAATTTAATAATATATCAAGTCATATAGTTTTCATGAATAAGTTTAACACTTAAAGTTATAATAGTGCTATCCGACCATGTTAATATGACATCATTAACTTTGTAAATTAAGTCCAATTTTTGAGTTTCATTAACATTTTTTTTTGTGAATCATTTCGATTATTTATCTTTTTTATACTCGTGGGTACGATACTAGAGGTAATAAGACTAAATCACGAACAATCGGACTAGATGTAAATTTAGAAATTCAAGATAATAACTCATGAAATAGAGAAAATATTCGGTGCTTATAAGACACCAAGGTGCCAGTGTCATGTGATGTCTACACTTAATAAGAAATTGTCACAATAATTTTTTCTCGGAACCAACAATTAATTTTTTTCAAAAAAAAAAAAAATCCGACAACTTCACAAGTGACAACAATTAATTGAGTATATATAATATTTTATAAATAATATTATGTGGTGTCTAATGGGCATGACTATTTTCTCCATGACACATTTCAACCCAAATCCACTTAAGGGGGTGACTTTATTAGTTCATCATGTTATGGAAGATGACAAAGAATTCTATCAATGATGAAGACAACCCACCAACTTTTTGGTGGTCTTATTTGGAGCACACTGTGACCCAACAAAAAGAAAATGGAGAGTAAACAGCGAAAGGGGCACGAGAATCTCCCTATTGGCTGACTTATGGACTTCATCTTTTACCTTTTCCTTTTTCGTGCAATAGACAAATCCATGGTAAAGTGACTTAGAATCCATTTTCTTTTTGTACCCATTAATATTAAAGTAATGCCGGTGAAATTTAATTTGCTGGCTTAATTCATTATTTTTTTATTTTTTTGGGGATTAATTCATTATAATCTTTAAATTGATTGTGAGTTCTATCAAATATTAAAATTTAGTGTTGAACCAAAAGTTTTAATGAAACCATGTCATTACGTTAATAAATTAGATCAAAATTTTAATTTCAAATAAGATTACTCCAATCGTAGTTTCTTCATTATTAAAACTAAAAGGGTGTTTCTATGTCTTTGCATCCATTATCCTAAGAATAAAAAAGACTAGACTAATAAAGAGTGCAATTATTTCTTGAAATCCTAGGCAGACTACCCCACTTCGTTTTGACCTTGCAATGTAAAGAATCCAATGCCACTGAAATATACTATAAACCCCCCTAAATTTTATTAATACAAAATCACAACCGCGTAACACCACCAATCCCAGCCAAATCTCAATCAAAATTTTGATTGAGAAATGATTTTTATGTAATTGGTAATTATCTGTTTAAATAGTTCAAAATTTAATAAATGAGAGAGAGAGAGAGAGAGAGCGGAGAACTAAGATTCTCTGTTCTCAGGAGTGTTATTTTTCAAAACAACGTCATTTCACACCAAAAGAACATCATTTAATTAAATAAAATGATATCATTTTGGTGTGAAAATGACGTCGTTTTGAGGATCAGCACCTCTGTTGTGCAATAGGTCCAAATAAGAGAGACAGAGCTCTGCCATCATCGGCAACACCTTCTCCCTCACCCCACAGGCTAAATCCTAGCCTCCTCCCCAAAACCCCTTCCTTGCCTCACATTCCACCGCGACCACAATGCTTTTTGGTGACAAAGACGATCATCACCAAAGACACACAAATTGTTGCCTGAAAGTTTTAGCGATGAAATTTGGTCCATTCATTGAGATACCCATTGTTAAGAAATTGGGTCTATAGTCCGTTGCTATCTCTTGTAAATATGTCATAAAATAAGTAGAGTAATGATATGTATCCCAAATTTACATCCCAAATTAAGGAGAACCATTGTATCAGTGGATTCCATTTAAAAAAGTTGATGGAACTCACTGATCCAATGGTCTTCCTTGATTTGGGATACATAGCACTACTCAAACAAGTATAATACATTTTCAAAGATATCCAAATATTAGTAGAAAATTTCAACTTACTTATAACTCCCGTACAAAGTGTCCTAAAGTTTCATTAATTCCACCCCAAGTGAGTTACTCTTATATCTTGCGACAGTTGTTCGGCAGTTTTGCCCCCGTGTGGATCAATTTTTATCCGAAACTATATATTTTTATAAATTTCATCCAAACTCTCTCATCACAAATCAAATTTTAATTCAATTTTTTGAACAAGTTTCTATTATTCAACGTAAATTTTTGTAGTAATCTCATAAAGCGAAAGGAAAACGGGCAATTTGAGGCCGTTAAATCCAAATCAAAGTTTGAAATCTTTGGGGTTGAAGCACTCAAACCTCACAACTTGTGTGCATAGTCCCATTCTTCCCATACCATACCAAACAATGATCTATCACACATTCCACTTACCCACACACTCAATAATAAGGTAATAAAACTAAAAAGTAGGTCATGAAAGACTCTTGTCTTGAGCTGAGTGTGATAGATTTGAAACACACCCATCAATGTGCATAAGGTTGAATGAGCCAAGTTCACATGGACAGACAAACAAACCCCATCAAGTGCTACTTTTCTTCTCCTCCATGGAAACAATATGAAAATTCCAAGAGCCTTGGAAAACGAGTTAGTGGAGTTTTTTTTTTTGGCATTCCCCCGCAAACATGCCCTTCACTAACTTGGACCGAGGATTTCAACACTAACAATACCCTTTTTTTTTTTCTTTCTTTAATGGAAAATCACCCCACTTGGTGTCTTTAGATTCAAGATAACAATGTAGGTATCGGACGCATAAAATCATTCACAAACTAGGCATATCGTTTAAATTTGGATTTTGTGAGGTTAATAAAATTTGACAACTTAAAACGTGTAGAATTAAATCTCATCCCTTATTTTGCACTAATATAACTCATGCGAGTTTTAACACCGAGTCTTTTATGATAAGTCATATGTATATTATAAAATTGGATATATTTTAATGAGTTTATCTGATGGTTTCAAATAAATTCATTAACCACCAATATCCTTATCAAAATCATTCATATTACACCGTGTCTTCAGACACGAGTTATCCCTAGTCTTACTAGCTTAGAACTTAAAATTTTTGTTATTTTAGATTTAGAAAAGATCATAAATACATAGTTTTGCTTTATCATCGATAAACTATGTTCTTGTGTTTAGAATATGTTGAGACCCAAACTATAAACAATCAATCTTACCATGGCCTAAAATACTATTTTTCTACAATTATAATCACAAGAGCAATGTTATACAAACTTAAAAACCTAACTTAATGATATGGGTCGTTATATTTTAAAAGTCTATTTAGCATTTTCCTAATCGCAATAAGAAAAGCCTATCTATAATTAGAGAGAGAGAGAATATCTATAACATTTTCCTAATCACAATAGGAAAAGCCTATCTATAATTACAGATAGAGAGAGCGAATATCTATAATATATTTCACATTCAACCAAAAGCTACAATCTCGCCTATATATACACTAACCATGATGTCCCTTCCTCTTATGCCTACATTCACTTTCTTTCTAGTCTTTCTTTCTTGCTAGCTTTAGCCACTTCAGCCTCAGTTCTGTAGCTCCTTTTGAGCTTTGAAATTATTCTCACAGCTTATACGATAATGGGTGGTTTCCGGCGGTGGTTCACCGACTTGGGCGGTGGCTACACAGGAAGAGGGTGGCGTGGGCGGCGGAGGAGGTTTACTTATGTAAATAAGTGTTGAAGCTGATGGCAAAAGAGCAACAAACAAAGCTTTGCAATTTCTCTCTCCTGAGTTCTAGCTTCATATAAGGGCAGAATTGGGAGAGCGACAATATTGCATTGCGGGGAATTGAGGGTAGCGGTCCGAATTTACCTTTAAAATACCTTTTTAGTTCCATCTTTAACCTTGGGTGTTTGGTTTTTTTTACGTGTTTGCCTTTTTTTTTTCTTTTGCTTTTTTGGTGTATGTTATGAAATGAAAGCATGGGATGTAAGAGATGCATACAAGGTAGCTTCTGGTGTTTAATATGGTGGCTGGGGGTGGGGGTGGGGTGGTTCTAAATGCTGCTGGGCATGCATCACTTACACCTATCATGTATTTGCTCTTGTAATGTACTGAAGTTAAAAGATCTTTCATGTCTTTTGCCTCTCTCAATGTTGAGACTTAAAAACTTGACGGGATTTATTGATCTAATAATGCAGTTATAGCATGGTCCAATAAAATCATTGCGATTGTAATTATTAATTTTTTTTTTTTTTTAAATTTATAACTACTATCAGATCAATAAATCAAACAAATTAGATCCACTCGGACTTCTTACAACGAACTAAGTGGCACTACTATATGTCCAATCAGGATAAAACTGCTGCAGAAACTGCACTCTTTTGATCAACCTTACCAGGTACTGAACAACTAGCCTGTTTTCCCTTTTAGATCCCAAAATAACATTACTTACACCTATCATCATGTATTTGCTCTGAAAATCAACTAGAGATAAAGATCTCTCTCTCTCTCTCTCTTAATGTTATTGGTTTACTTGAAGTTGGCTTCATGGGTATTCAATATGCAGCTTTTGGTTAACAAAAGTGGGAGGATCTGAGGAGTAACAGAAGATCTTTCTTGAGCAGCCCTTCCTAGCTAGCAAAAGCTTATACACGTTTTTAAATTAGTTTCTACTTAATTCACAGTTATTGTAGATGTGACATCCAACTTCATCTCAAATCAGTTCTATTCCAACTTTGCCTTTTAAGTTTTTGTTTTCCCTTTTGCTTGAATTTAGACGAGAGAGGGACTTAATTCAAAATTTTAATTCATAATCCAAGTGTATTGTAGTTGTTAAACTAGTCGTGAATTTTAATATTTTACAGAATTCACTTTGAATTTCGTAATTATAACTAATTAAGTTTGTAAATTAAGTACTCAACTTAAGTAGTATTTATCTTTAGATAAAGTCATCATATTAACCATTTTTTTTTTTTTTTGATCAGAATCATATTAACCATTTAGTTGCTTTAAAAATAGGGAAACTTTATGGTATCAAAAAAAAAAAAAATTTTACACCGGTTACTATTTTTTATGGTAAAAATATAATTTAAAATTAGAAATTACAAGTTACAACAGAAGGTCATGATCGATCACAGACACTTATGATTGATCATAAAAAATATAGTATCGATCACAATATTTTATGATTGATCATGCTCTTTGAAGTTGTAATTTATACATGAAAAAAATTATAATTTAACATTAAAAATACATAATTTTCAACACTAATACCGTATAACTTCCCTTAAAAGTTTGTCCAGACCTTTTGTAGGATGTTCACAAGTACAGTAGTTGATGATAATTGGTTTGACAATGAGTACTTTTTCGTTATATGGGAAATTCCAAAGCATGCCCTCACTGAGTAGAGGCGCACTCATGCGCTCAGGCTAGTGATTAAGGGTAGAATCAAGACTAAAATTCGGGTGTATGAATTAGTTTCTCAACTTATATACTATTTAAATCAAGATTTGTATTTTATCGAAAATTTAAGACTCACACCAGAGATTTAAATACGATTCATCCAAGCAAATGAAGTTTTGTCCTACCAAACAACCAAATATTTTACGTCCAGAGAACTTCGAATCCTGACCTCCCACTGGGTAGCCAGAGACACTGGCCAACTGAGCTTCCCCAGTTGGTTGACAATGAGTACTTTTGTTTTGTGTTCGTGTGGTGTTATATTGAAGGAGTAGTCTAGGTCCTAACAAAAAAAAAATGGAAATTGGACCATCATTTTTAATTTTTGTATATATTTTAATAATTTTTGTTGGTATTTTTATCACTTTTTTGTTGACTCAGTCCTAAAAAACTACGGTCAAGACTGTCTCTACGTCTCCTTCCCACTTAGACGTAGGATTTTTTTTTTTTTTTTTAATTTGTGGGTCTGTACATCACCTATCCCGTCATTAAAACAAAACATTAGATAGACATATCTATACTGGCTGTTCCATAAAAATATGACATATGTCAATTATTTTGAATTTATTTTTTTATTATTTTTACGGTCAATTGCTACAAATTAATTAATCCAAAATCAATAACTTTTTAAGAGTGTATTTGGGATAATTTATAAAATCTAAAAAATATTTTTTTAATAAATATTTATCAAAAATATTTATAAGAAAAACACTTTTATTAAATAAGTATTGTTTGGATATTCAAAATTTAAAATATTTAAATTAATGTATTTTATAAAAAACATATTTAGATGTAAAAACTTAAATTAATGTATTGTTTCCACCCACTGCCAATCCTCCAAAGCACCACTCAAACTCTTCATTTCTTCCCAATTTTAACCCCCAGTTCAATCTCTTTCCTGACAACTATGGTGGTCTCGCTTTGTCATTTGCATCCCCTATTTTGTCATTTCCTATGGCCACAGAGCCTTGGTTTAATACTGACTTTTTCAGTGAGCTATTTCAACAAACACCTTCACTTCATTTTATTTCTTTCCATTATAAGGAAGTTTCTTTTTATCCAAACAGTTCATTGGACAAGGGTATTGAGCTGCCTTCAATCCAATCACCAATACCAAAACCATCACCAACTTCGTCTGCAAACACTGGGAGTGGCTATATAGTAGATGCAACATCAAGTGATGCTGATGAGTATGAAATTGCACCAGAATTTCCACTAGGAAATAGTGGTTTGTTGGAAGACCTGGCGAAGGAATCTCAAGCTTTGACTCAGGTTGAAAAATCAAGGAAAAAAAAATTTCCGCCAGACATGAAGCTAAAGTGAAATGTGTATCAGAAGATGCGGTGGAAAACCTATGGGAGAGTTCAATCTTTGCTCCTTCATCCATTGATGAGTTTCTCACTATCTAAGCTACCGGGGACTAGAGCTACAGCGACTCACAGAGAGCTATCGAAGGAGGGAGGAGAAAATGATAAGTAAAAATGAGAAGTGCTTTTTAAAAGTAAAAGTTAATTATTATTACTTTTTTTATTAACTTATTTAAGTGCTCAAATTACTTTTACTTCTCAAAAAATATTTTTAGCAAGTTAAGTCAAACACTATTTTTTTTAAAAAAATATTTTTTATAAGTTAAAAGTCTCAAAAACACTTTTTTTTAAGTCATGTCAAACACACTCTTAGTGTGGTACCCCACAATATCCGGAACAAAAAAAAAAGAGGAAAAACACTTCTCATTTCTATAAGTGCTTTATTGTACCCATTTTCTTCAGGTTGTTCCCCTGGAAGCCCTGTTCAGTTTTGTAAATTTGTACAGACTAATCCTCAGGGGTTTGCAGATACATTCCCAACCTCCTAGCATGTACTAGTATATAATTAACTCCTTACCATCATGTCTAATTTATGGATTCAACTCGTACCGATAGCGTAGTGTGAAATTGAATTTTGGAGAAACCGTAAACTTAATCCTGTCGATTACTCCTATGTTTAACTAAATTACTTATAGTTAACAGGTGATTGCATGTATATACTCTACAAGAGTAAATCTAAAAACAAAAAATTTGGAAAATTATCTTTTTCTTTGGTGGTTTTATTCAGCATGGAAAGCATATATCATATTTGCGTTCATTAAACAGTGTAAGACAATAAACCTGCCCTAATTTTGGACCAGATTGACGAGTGTTTATAAGTGTGTAAACTTTGAACTCCCCCTTTTAGTCACCTAATTTCATGTCGTTTAGTGAAATGTGTGACGAGTATTTTAAGATCAATATAAGCTTTGAACTTTTGTTGTCCAAAGCTTGTTAAAATTGTGCAGGTCTAGGCCGACGTGACAACATTATACAATATCAATCTAAGGCATTATCATTGGCTTTAAAGTCATTGACTCTCGTGAAGCAAGGATCATGTAGTTTTGTACACCCCTTGTGCATCTCAATTTTGTGGGACCATAGGAGATAGCTTATTGGTCATCTTTTCCTTCAGAATGTTAAATTGCCGGGATTTTAACGAGTCTCATACGTGGATGTGTGCCTCTAAGAGGGGTGAATAATGGTAACCCAACTCTGGTATCGCTTGATGAAGTATGTTTATGTGTTTAAGAGATACCTTATATGTATGAATTTTGGGCTTGCATTCTACGTAATGTTTTAAAAATCTACTGCATCAACCCTATGCAACACCTTACAACTAAACTTACACAAAGATGATTAGTAATATAAGAGTTTTTGTTATTGTTGTTCTGCGAAGTGGGAGAAACGAAGTGGATCTTCACCCATAATTATACATGTGGAGCGCACGACACTACATACACCAGCGTTTTTCGATTTTAAGCACCATCGGGCTTGGCAAACCATAAGTACAAAACAAGGAAATTGATGTCATGGAAGCATACGCTTAACAATTTCAGCAATCAACATCAAGTTGAACCAACATCGACATCCGAAGAAACAAAAGGCTTTGGAGGCATTTTTAGACTTTGCAAGTCACCTTCCAGCATCTGAACCACCATTGCCATGGAAGGTCGATCCTTTGGCCTCCATTGAATGCACCAAAAGGCCACAATTGTGAGCTTCTTGGCTATCATCTCTTCTTCACCCGTCTCAATTTGCAATTCCAGCTCTTTCCCTTCACTCAATCTGTCATAAATGCATTCTGGCAAATAAATCTGGCTTTGATCTTCAACTGTTTCATCGACTTTGTTGTTCCTACAACCACAAATGTCTAATAACAACATTCCAAAACTGTATACATCTGACTTGTACGAAACCTCTCCAAAGTTCCTCAAGAAAAGCTCGGGTGCAATATAGCCCGGAGTCCCTCTTGCACCTGTCACAGATATAATACTTTGATCCTTTGAGGAAAGCTTGGCCAGCCCAAAATCAGCAATCTTAGGCTGAAAATTATGGTCTAGTAAAATGTTGTGAGGCTTGATGTCGAAATGTAGGATCCTTTGGTTACATCCTTGGTGCAAATACTCAATTCCTCTGGCAATGCCTATTGCAATTTGTTGTATCTTTTCCCAACTCAATTGTCGATGAGTCTTTGAATCATCGATAATTGAGATGATGAACTTCTCAAGTGAACCATTGGGCATGAACTCGTAGACAAGAGCACGCTGAGTCCCTTCGTAGCAGTAACCCAAAAGGCGAACGACATTGAAATGGTGTATCCTGCTTATAGCAATCACTTCATTGATGAATTCTTCACCATTTCCTCTTGAATTCTCGAGCATTTTAACTGCAACTGGTATTCCATTAGGAAGACTTCCTTGGTAAACACTTCCACAACCTCCTTGGCCTAGTTTGTGTTTAAATCGACGAGTTATCTTTTTGATCTCAGAGAAATTGTATCTAGTTAAAGAAAGGGTCTTGTAATTTGTTAGGAATTTCTCTATCTTCAGCCAAGTTTCTTTTTCATTGTCAGATTTTCTTGATCTGCAGATTAAAAATATCATCACTGCAAGTAAAATGGTGCCACCAATACTTGTGCCTGGAGGTACAAAACCACAATCAGTATGAATATGTATGAGTTTATACAAGAATAAAAGATTTATTGAGGAAAGCTTACCTATAATCAAAGGTACATGAGAACCTGCAAAACACAAACAAAAATGATATGCTAATTAGCCAACATGTTATTAAACATAAGCCTCTTTGAGTTAACTGCTCAAGCCAAGCTTTCCCAAACGACAAACACCAAGGTGGAAGCCTCAATAATTCATATCCTTTTGAATATGCTTCATAACTAGCTAGTGATAAATGATAAGTATAACTACTTGAGAAAGAGATTGTGATTGTCACTTACTTTTGTGCCTCGGATTATAACAGATGGTTTCATTACTTGTACTATTGTAAGCACAGTAATTCCATGATGTTTCACAACCATAGTAGCAGTCAAGAGTTCTCCATTCTTCAATGATCTCTCCAGTTCTTAGCTGGCTCTCAATTGCTGGAATCACACCACTATGTATTAACCCACTATTTGCTATTTCGGCTGTTTTAGATGTGTGACAATTTAATGGCAGCCTATCCATTGCTCCATCAGCATCCATTACATATACTAGACTATCATCGTCGCGCAAACACTCAATCGGTCCTATCATTCGATCTGTTGCAACTCTGTCGAGGCATTTTACGAGAGCAAAAGGTAAGAACGGGGTGGTTGATTTATCCAAGATTGAATCAGATCGATTAAAGGACATAAGGCTTTGTAATGGGCAATTTTTGTAATGGACTTCCATGAGCGAAATTGTCCTTTCTCGATACGAAATCTCTTTAACATAGTAGTTTCCTGAGAAAGGAAAGTTGATGAGTGTGTTGTTGCCAGAGCATGATAATTCATATCCTTCAAGGCCACAAATGGATGGCTGAGTGTTGAGCCTAAAAGGAAATCTGATTGTTGGGCCTTTGTTGGTGCATTTGGTTGGTGGACATTGTTTGAAGAAACTCTCACCACTGTTGTCACCTAGTGTTCTTGTTTGTGTAGAGGATGAGAGAAGGAAGAGAATTACACAGAGAAGATGAGACATGGGCATGGAGAGAGAAAGAGAGACTTAGTCTCATGGAGCTTCCTGTGGTCTTCGGAAAAGTTCACCAACCCAATAAAGAAAATCTATTCAATTCTGAGGTGAGAAAACGATGCATAATTGGGCAGCAGTCTTCCTCGTTAAAATTGTGTTCAGATCTCTATCAAATATCTGGCACTTGATTGAGTAGAAGAAGAAAATTGACCAATTAATGAGGAGGACTGCTGCCAAATTATGCATTGTTTTCTCACCTCAGAAGTGGATAGATTTTCTTTATTGGGTTTGTGGACTACCGACGACCACAAGAAGCATCATGGTACCAAGTCTCTCTCTCTCTCTTCGGCAACACTAACAAACCAAAACCATGACAAGTTATTCTAGTAGATTTTTTTTTTTTGAAAGTTCTACTGGTAGTTTGATTGATTGCCTTGCTATCTACTGCAACTTTTGACCAAGTCATCTATGAAGCAGGGTCGGCTCAAACATTAGGCCACTACCTACGTGGTCTAAGATCCACCTTAAAAACATGTAGCGTAATATTCAAGTATTTCCGAATCAATAGCTATGATTTTAGAAAATGATTTGTAAAATTAACCTTGTGAGTCCACTTTAAAACAAGGCCTAAAACATACAGCATCGAAACCCTAATAACATTGAGAATTTAACTTTGGTTCCATAGGTTTATTTTTTAGTTCAACGGTTAGGGATGTCTGGACCATTTTAAACGTAACTCGACTAATCTACTCTCCAGTCCAGTCCAGTCAAAAATAGGTCATCCATATCAAGAATAGGGAATTTACAAGAGATCAATCCTTCTTACCACTCGAGCTACCTAGGTTGGGTTGCATGGGTTTGCAAAGGGAAAACAAGTCTTAAGCCGAGACTTTTTAGTGAAATGCTTGAATGAACTGGCTAGTTAAACTCAGAGTTGCCAAAACCTTGCGAGTATATATAATATGTTCATAAAAAATACTGTCATATATATCAAAGAGAATACAAAATTACTGCCTTCAAGTCATACTGGTTCAGCTAGTCCTCTCATTGAATATCCTTAAAGGGATTTAATAATCCTATAGGTGGCCATAAGCTTGCAAGCTTCATTACAGTTTATACAATATGAAATTCACAAAGACAAACACCAGGAGAAAAAAAAAAAGGAAAGACATATTACAGTCAATTACACATTAGATTGGTGAGAACTGCTAGCACCATAATACAAGCGTTCCTCCATGGATTCAGATATGATCTCTGTTGAAGAATCAGACTGCTCTTTTAACGCCACATGCTGAGGGGAAGATGAGAAGGGCCTAGGAGGCATCTTCAAATCATCGATGTTCGCTTCTAACATTTCCACCACTTTAATCATTGAAGGCCGATCAGAAGGCTTCATTTGGATGCACCATAGCCCAACTACACACAACTTTCTAGCAGTCTCAATTTCAATTTCAGTTACATTCTCAAGTTCTAAACCTCCTCCTCCATCTAGATTGTCATAAACCCAAGATGGGAAGTAAACTTGGCTTGATCTTTCTGCCTTTGCATCAACATTCTTCCTCCCTCCAGCTATTTCCAACAATAACATCCCAAAACTATATACATCTGATTTACTGGAAACTGAACCAAAGTTCCTTGAAACCAACTCAGGAGCTATGTAACCTATTGTTCCTCTGGTACAGCTAACCGACACAAAATCAAACTCCTTCGGGTAAAATTTCGCAAGGCCAAAATCAGCAACTTTTGGGGTGAAACTATGGTCTAAAAGGATGTTGCCAGGCTTGATGTCGAAATGAAGAATACATACATCACATCCATTATGCAGATATTCAATGCCTCGAGCTGTTCCTAGAGCAATTTCAAAGAGTTTTTCCCAACTAAATGACTGACCCTTTCCTTTCTTCGAGTAAATATGTCTGTCAAGCAATCCATTAGGCATGTATTCAAAAACAAGAGCTCGTTTAGACCCCTCAGAACAAAACCCCAGTAACTCCACCACATTGACATGGTGAATTCTACCGATTGTTGAAACTTCATTGATGAATTCGTCTGCGCTAAACTTGGTGTTCTCAAGCATTTTAACAGCTATTAAGAAACCACCTGGGAGTTGCCCCCTATACACTGACCCAAAGCCACCTTGCCCCAATTTGTCTCTGAAGTGGTTTGTCATTGCAATGACTTCAGTGTAAGAGTACCTTTTGGGCATTAAGGACTGGTGATTGCGTAAAATTTTCTCTACATTATCAACTACCTTTCGTTCTTTTTGAAATTTATGGATTAGGAACACAAATATGACTATTGGAGCAATAATAAATCTAGCTATAAGGCCAAAAACTGCAAAAAAAAAAAGGAAAAAGAGAGTGAAAATGTATTAGCCAAGTGAATTTAGGATCTAAAAAGTGACATACTTGAAAAACTAAAGTTTCAGCAAGGAAAAGTACCAATTAAAATGCTAACAGCAAAGGAGAAGAAAACTTGAGTCACTATGAGGACGACACTATCTGCATAAGCACATTAAAAATTAGTCTAACAAAAAACCCTCAACAAACAACATCATAGAAACTAAAGAACAAAGAGTTAGGAGAATTTAGGACAACCAACCAGATTTAGAGCAATGGTAATTGAATGGTAACTCATATGTACTTATTGCGCATGTAGAATTGGACAACAGGCAATCTCGGCACTCAACTGACCATTCCAAAACAAACCCGGATTCCAGTAAACTCAAAATAGCCTCATAAGAAGGGTGTCTCACATTTGAAAAAGCTAGAGGAGTCGTTGAGACAAAATCGCAAACAGAAGGAAGATCGGAGAGTCTGAAGCTATTGTAGATAACGTAAAAATGTGTTGTGTTTCCATTTCCACCCAAACAAGGAAGTCTTCTGTAAGCTGGGTCACTGATAATTGTAGAGCAGTTCATGAAACTCGCATACGTCTGTAGAAATCTTCCTTGGTAACGAATGTCACCTTCTACTTCTTCAAATGACACAGATTTGTAGGGCAAATTACATGTTCCATTGGAAAAATTAACATCAACAACTCGAATTGTCCGCATTTCGTATGAAATTTGCTTCACATAATACTTCCCTGAATGAAATTCCAAGATTGTTACGTTGTTCTCGCATGCAAGTTCGTAATCTGAATCGCCACAGCTTGGTGGATCACCCTTTAAACGAAAAGGGTAGCTGATGTTTCGGATACTCCCACACGAAGAAGAACAAATTTGCTGAAGTGATCGTGTTTCAATTTCACCAGTGAATGAAAAGATCAACAGAGCAAAGAATGCAAGTAAGTTAGTTGATAGGATTTCTTTTCTCATTGCTTTTCTCTAGATGATACTTCGAAATTTGCTGAGAAGTAGGAAATAGAAACTAGAGGACATGGTCAGGACTCCAACCGGTCAGGTCACCGCTTATAATTAGGGGCAATATTCTATGGCACAACACAAAAACAACACTTCCGGAATTAGTCTGTTAAAATTGATCATTTTTCAACATGATCTAAACAAAAGTTGAATGTTCTTTTGTTTTTCAGCAATTAAGGGTGTTTCAGATCAACTTATTCATACATTCACTAATTTTTCATATTGGAATTAAGATTTTCATAAAGAATAAATCTCTCATAATCTAACCTTAAAAAATTATCAAAATTTAAACTTATAATTTGTCTCTATTACAATTTAAACTACCCATGAGTCAAAATTCACGATCCGTCATCCATACTTTTTACGAGACTAAAAGTGTTTTTTTGATAATATATCATAAAATATAATTTTTAGCATGGTTGGTTAGTATTTGTAATCGATCTTAAAACTTGAGAATCAATCATAAATGATATAATGGATTTTGAAATTCTAAAATCGTTTACAAATATTCTCAAAAGATTGTAATTAACTCCCGAAAAGAATGTAACTTGACCCCAATAGTGATGTTTTATGGAATCGTAAACTATAAGATTGCCCTTTTTTTTAAGTCGTAACCTAACTTTAAAAATTTGTAACTTAACTCAAAAAAATTATAATTTTAGATATAATATTTGCTTGGTACCATAATCTTACCCTACTTTCTTATGGCCTGTTTGGTTTGGTGGAAAAGTAGGTGGATAGAAAATAGGATAAAAAATAACATTTTCCTTTCTTTGATATGAAAGGAAAATTGAGGGAAAAAGAAAATTGGGTGGAAACCATATCTTTGGGCCCACCTTTTTTAATCACTCTACAAATGGGAAGAAAGTGGAAGGAAGGGTGTAGCCCATGTACCAAATTAGTGGGTCTTACGTCCAATTATTAATTTCTTGACTTTTTTATTCAATTTTTTGAATAAATTGACTTTTTTGTCCTTAAAATATATTTCTAAATATTACATATATCTTTTCTTTTCTTCTACTTTTCGTCTGATATCAAATAATAAAAAATTAATTTTTTCAACTTTTCATTCATCATACAAAACACAAAAGAGAGATAGTGTTTTTCTTTCCTCAGAGAATATAAAATTTATTCCTTATAATTTTCTATTCTTCTAATTTTACATCTCTCCTGCTTAAGATAGCATTAAAAAACACAGTTTCATTCTACACTTTACTAAATGTTGACTGACATCATTACGGTACATAATTGTGGGTTGTTTAGGTGGGTCCATACCTTTAAATTGTTGGTGAATTCAATTATTTTCATAAAATCATTTAGTGTACTAATTTGTCAATGACTCTAGGGCTGAATTAATTGTGAAAGTCCAACTTGCCGGACTGTGTAATAGGCCCACAACAATGACAGCCCTAGACTGGTCCGGTTGGGTCTTTAGGTTCAAGTTTCTACGAAATTAAGATAGAGTTTCTTTGTTAAATATTCATATATTTTTTAATTTTAATTTATATATTTATAATAATAAGGTAGAGATGTTTTTAAATTTTTAAAGTTGAAAAAACATAAGGACAGATTAGATTAATTATTGATGGAACTTTTCTGAAATACTCCAATATGAAGACAAGTGTCCTCGGTGTCATTAAAAAATCCTGTTACTGAGATCACGTACCATCGCTTTACAACTCCCTCGCCCCCGAGGTACTTGACACGTGGTCAAGTACGTTTTACGAACCGACACGTATCCCTCGGTATGATATGGTACCTCGGTCGTCATGTACAGCTTCCCTCGGCTCGAGATGTACCTATCCTCGGTGCCGAGATGTACCCCGTCCAGGATGCCTTTTCTCTGCTCCAGTATAAGCTATTGATGTACAGGTCATTAGCCTAGGCTAGTCTAGGTTAGCTATCATGGTCTCGTCTTACACAATTGGTGTCAGAAGGCACAGGAAGGCAGGGTCCACAGCCAATGAGGGATGGACGCGTGGCAAATTGTGTCACATCAGAGACAGAAAGACCGCATACCCTTACTGACATGCGACTTGGGAAAACAAACATTTAATTACATCATTCCCTTGATGAGACCGCATTCAATGCTGTAAGGCTCGGAATTGAAAGGCAATAAATGTCTCTAAGGCTGGGCATTTATTGCGTCCTCCCCGAGTGGAGCTCATTGGATAGTCGGCAGCCCGATGACACAACATTGATTGCTCGGGACTCCGAGCAGTTAAAGAAGAGAAGACATTCCTCATCAGAATCAGTGCGCACACTGCCTGTACCTAATGATCACCTACTGACAACACTGACAGCAATCATGAGCTTTTGAGGTATAAATACTCCTCGTAAAAGGCAAGACGATATGGAACAAAAAACTCTTTACTACGAAATATACTCAATGCTTTCTTCTTCCTCTCCCTTTCAAAAACTGACTTAATCGTCGGAGGGGATAAGCCGGAAAACACTCCGGCGCCCTTCTAACTTGTTCTTCTTTGTTCTAGGAACCTTTCTCCAGCCTTACTGGATCGTTCCTTCAATCCACGAGGGTCTCCCGTTGCCGTTCCAGGTTACCACCGGACCTCACAGGCTGTCCCAAGCAGCGTGGTTGACCACTCAACTGACTCACTCGAGTTCACCAAGGGAGAGATCTGTTCTCGTTTTTTATATTGTGCAAGATCCTGCACGCACAATCTGGCGCCGTCTGTGGAAAACGACTAGTTTTCCTAGTTTTTTCTCTATAAAGAACAGTGACCATGGTGAACACTCGACAAAAAGGGAAAGGTCCCCACCAAAGAAGTCTCGAACTACAAGCTCCCTGTCACCACGGAGGAAAGGATCACACTGACGGGAATAAAAATGCCTCCACTCAGTCAAGAGGGGTTACCCCTCAAACCAGTATGGGAATTAGGTCAGGAGGATCAGCCCCCCTGGCTCGTCAACTGGCGGAGGTGATCGAAGAAAAGTTTGGCGATAGATTACGACAGCTGGAAAAGGACAATGTAAACGTCCTAAGCCGGCTCAACGAATTCGCCGCCTCCGGCGAAGGGTCGAGGGACTCATTCCTTTCTAGTGGGCTCCCCGCCCGGGAGGTAGAAACGAAGGATCTAAGGAATCATCTAAACAACAAGGCAGAGAGCTCCCGGGATCCAAAGCGACCGAGAGCTAACGAGCACCTTCCTAACGACCATTCAAGGAAGGCAAGACCATTAGCGCTGGACGACCTCCGGCGAGGATTGTCTAGACGGAGGGAGGGGGATGAGTCCGAGGAGGATTCTACCCTATCCGCACGGTGCCCAGGAAATGAGGGGCCCATTGATGAACTCAAGGACTTCAGAAGACATCCCGTCAGGGAGGAAATTGATCTCAGAGCCCGGCTGGAATCCAGGAAAAAGAGTAAGGTTGTCCAGGATGAGGTCGAAGACGAGGTCATACAAACACCCTTCACCAGGGAGATCGGAGAGATGGAGGTTTCAAGAAAGTTCATCGTGCCGAGGTTTAAAACTTATGACGGGCGGTCTGATCCTGAAGCCCATCTCAGGCAATACAAGCAGATGATGTCCCTCTATCATTCGGATCAACGGTTTCTCTGCCGAGTGTTTCCAATGAGCTTGGGGGACTCTGCGATGAAGTGGTTCGAGGCGCTTCCCCCAAACAGTATTGTGTCGTGGAAGGAATTGACGAGATAGTTCCTGGCTCGATTCATTACGGGGAGTAAGCGCCCCAAAGACGTTGGAATATTGTTGACCCTCAAACGTAGGGAATCCGAGACCCTTCGCCAGTATGTCATCCGATACTGGGAAGAGGTTAATGAGGTAGAAGGCTGCTCGAAAGTCATGGCAGCGGCGTCTTTTCGGCTCGGTCTGGTGAGGGACACGGACCTATATCGATCCCTGACCAAGAAGACTCCCTCGGATATGGGGGAGCTGATGGCCCAGATAAACAAATACTCAAGGATCGAAGACGAGATAGGAAGCAGCAAAGGCCGAACCCTGCAATCTAAGAGAAAAGAGAGGGAGCGGGAAGATACTCCCCGAAAGGGGTTGCTACCCCCTCCAGGGGGTTCGTCCAAAGGAGTTCACATTATGTTCAAAGAACCCACCTTCAAGTTGTTCCATAAGATCAAGCGCGAGTCGTTCTTCAAATGGCCGCCCAGGATGCAGAGCGATCCCTCCACCCGTGATCAAAGGGTTAGGTGTTCCTATCACCGGGATTTCGGACATCGCACCGAAAGCTGCAGGGTGTACAAATCGTTCTTGGAAAAATTGGTCCAAGACGGATACTTGAGCCTAGGCCAAAAGAGAGACACACCATTGCCCCGACCGAGGAACCGGACAACGTCATTGATGTTATCCATGTATGTCCCCTGGATCGCCTCACGTCCAAGGAACTCGAGTTCGACCTCAAGAAGGTAGCTTTTACAAGGAAGGTGGCCGAGGATGATGGAGGGTCACCCAGTAAAAGGTCCAGGACTGGTGAGCCAAGCATCACGTTCTCGGACGCGGACTTGACAGGCGTAGTGACTCCTCATAACAACGCCCTTGTCTTGACCCTGAAGATAGGAAAATTCGACGTCAAAAGGGTGTTGATAGACTCTGAAAGTTCCTCGGAAGTGATGTACTCCGAGACTTTAAAACGGATGGGTCTTGGCCTCAAGGACCTCACCAAGGTCAGAACACCTCTCATCGGATTCAACGGCTCATTCGCCCTGCCCATAGGCAAAATCACATTGCCAGTTGTCACGGGTCCCTTCGTCATCAATACCGAGTTCGTCGTAATTGATACAGACTCTCCCTACAACGTGATCATGGGGCGAACATGGCTGCATGCGTTGGGAGCGGTGCTCTCCACCTACCACCAGAAACTAAAATTCGCCACGCCAGAAGGTATCATGGAGATCCGGGGGGACCAAGCGTCCGCAAAAAATTATTTTTATTCAGCCGTTAGAGCCGGGGCGTTCACCCAAG